CCCCAAAACCCCAAAACCCCAAAACCCCACGAGGATAAATATGATGAGAAATTTTTGCATGTTCAATAATTTAATATTTAAATTTATCAAAAAGTACAAGGAAAATATGTCGAATTTGAAACTCAGAGAGGTCATTAAGCAGATCAGATCTTGCAAGACTGCTGCTGAAGAGAGAGCTGTTATTTCAAAAGAATCAGCTCTTATAAGAAATGCATTCAAGGTAAGTTAATGGCAAATATTATATGCAAGTCAATGCTATTGATGATGAATCCATGATTAGCTTAATTTTTTATGATTAGGAAAAAGAGTGTGAGCACCGTAATAGAAACATCGCCAAGCTACTGTTCTTTAACTTGCTAGGCTACCCCACTCACTTCGGTTAGATTGAGTGTATCAAGCTGGTAGCTTAAGCTAACTACACTGAAAAGCGTATCGGATATCTAGGCTTGTCTTAGTTGCTAGATGAGTCGTCTGATATACTCATGATGGTAACAAATCAAATAAAGAAAGATTTGAATGAGAAGGGAAATAACGCATTGGTATCCTTAGGTTTGACTGCAATAGCTGAAATTTCCACCGAACACATGTGCAGAGAACTCTATCCAGAGGTCAAGAGATTAATGAAGAGTTCATCTCCATACATCAAACAGAAGGCAGTATTAGCCGCCATTAGAACAGTCAAAAATATCCCAGATACCATTGAGGACTTTTTAGAGATTATAGATTAGCTAATTTATGACAAGAGCCAAAGTGTGCTTCTTGCAACGACTACTTTGATGGTTGAGATACTGAGAGTAGATGAAAGCTATATCAAATCATTCAGAAAATATGTTGCTACATTAGTTAGAATTCTAAAGAATCTTTTAATGAGCGGATATAACCCTGAGTACGAAATTAGTGGAGTAAAGGATCCATTCCTATAAGTCAGAGTACTTTAGTTGCTAAGAAGATTAGGAGAAAAGAATTCTGAGGCTTCAGATGAGATGAGCGATATCTTAGCCTAAATTGCTACCAACACTGAGTAAACTAAGAACCCAGGTAACTCAGTGCTTTCTGAGTGTGTTAGAACCATTATGGGCATTGAGGCAAGTCAAGGTCTTAGAGTCTTAGGAATAAACATTCTTGGAAGATTCTTGATGAACAGAGAAAACAATGTGAGATTCGTTGCTCTCTAGGCTTTGCAGTAGGTCGTAGACATAGATTATAATGCAGTTAAAAGGCATCAAGCAACAATCACTGATTGTCTTAAAGATCATGATCTCGTCATTAAAAAGAAAGCACTTGATTTACTCTACAAAATTACCAATTAAACTAATGTTAAGTCAATCGTCAAAGAACTCGTTAACTATCTATTGATTGCTGACAATGAATTCAAAAAGGAACTTTCAAATAAGATCTGCATGGCATGTGAGAAATATGCCCCAAATAAAAAATGGCATATTGACACTGTAATTAAGGTACTTACTTTGTCAGAGGGTCATGTTAGAGAGGAGTTCATATCTCAAATCATTACAGTTATTGCAACTACACCTGACCTTCATTAATACTCAGTGGCAAAGGCTTATTATGCTATGAAAGAAAATCTAAACTAAATTGGCATGGTTCAGCTCGGTATATGGCTTGTAGGAGAATTCGGTGAAATGCTGGTTAATGGCTAAGCTAAAGATCCAGATAACAACCCAATTATTGTTGATGAAGATGAAATCATTGAGGTTTATGAAAAGATTCTAGAAGATCATAACAAAAAAGGTGAAAGAAGTGATACTGTTATATGTTGGGCCTTGACTGCACTTTCTAAGTTGACTATCCGTTTGAAGAGCATTTAAGCCAAAGTTTAAGAAATCACCAATTCATATACCACTCACATGAATGTTGAAATCCAGCAAAGAGCTTGTGAGTTCATTTAACTATTTGATCATAACTGGGATGAGGAGAGAGTTGGCATCTTTGAGCCTATTCCCTTTAAAGGAGATGAAAATATGCTCGTCGATGCAACAAACAGGCCTATTTTCGATGATGAGGATGGCGAGAGAGATGTTGCACCTTCAAATGACACTGCAGATCGCAAAGCTCCTAAAGCTAAAGTAGAACAGCAAATTACTTAATCTGATAACATGATCGACCTCGATAGTATCTTAAGTGGGGGCTACAATCAACCCTAAAACTAATAGCAAAATGCCTAATAGAGTGCTCCATCAGGAAATCTAATTGATAATCTATTAGATGTCTTTTCCACTCCTACTTAATAAGTTTAATAAATCTCTTAATAATAGATGAGTCAAAGCAATAACCTGCTAAGTGGGATTGATGATTTAATAGGATTTTCCAGTACTCCAATTGTTAACAATTAAGTATAACAAAATACTAATCAGATGTTCGGTATTAATGATATGTTCGGAGGCTTCTAATCACAGCCAATTCTATAATAGCAACAGCAATAGCAACCATAACAATTTGTGGCATATGAAGATGGAAATATCAAGATCGGCTTTACATTCGCTAAAGAGGACTAGAGCACTCATCTTATCAAAGCTTACTTCTCAAACAAAGTGCCTCAAAATCTAGCTGGTATTAATCTTTAAATTGCAGTCTAAAAATACATGAAACTTTCAATTCTTCCAGCTACTTCGTCAGACCTACAACCACTAATTCAAAACGGTATAACTTAGGACATTAAGATTCAAAATTCAATGGAGGGGCAAAAGCCACTTGCTCTCAAAATAAGAGTTCTCTATACCCTAACTCAAACAGGATAACAAGTAAATGAGACAAAGGTCATTAACTCCTTGCCGACCAATTGAAGATCGTAGAATTTTGAGTTCAAGAGGATATTGAAATAATAGTTATTTTCGTTAAGAAATTAAGATTAAAATTAAGTATTATATTTGTTCAATCAAAATTAATCAATCGATTTATCGCATCAAATATCTTTCACTTCATTCTCATCAAATTGTATAATGCATTCCATAAATGGCTTTACTGGCTCCTTTTGCATTATTTCTATAAGTTTGTTAATAGTCATATCTTTATCATTTCCAAATATTAAATGAACAATAGCATTTGCACTCATTTATTGAGTAAGATCTTGAACAAATATGATATTAACCATTTTTTCAAAGGTTGTTCTTGGAATAACTTCATCACCTTTTTCATCAATCAAAGAAAGCCAAAGAGTTACTCTTCTGGTATAAGGGGATGTCTAAAGTATGTTGAGTCTAGCGCAATAGTTATCAAAGGTAAGATTTTCTCCTTTATGCTTGAATAGATAAAAAGCTATCCTATTTAGGTACATCAGTTCCTCGTCATTGAATCTATCAATTTATGATTAAAGTTCATCATCTCCAAAGATGCGCTTGTGTCGACTCTTCATTAGAATAGCATGGTGATCAGGTAGTAAGTCATAGTTCTTATCCACAAATAGACCTTGATAATTAATCTTGTCAAACTGTTCAATGTAATTCTAGGTGATGTATTGTTATCTGAGGTATACATAGTGCTTTTGTATAAATGTATAATGGTCATTGCCAGGATCTAGGGTGAAGTTGAAATACTCAAATTTTTTCCATTAAGGCTTGCTTGTGGGTGAAAGAATTAGTTTTGCATTTATTTGATTTCCAACTGACTTTAGAATGTCGAATCTTTGTTGTACCTCCAGAGGGATATTTATCAAGGTGTGCAATGAAAACACAATCTTAGAAGGCGCATGAAGATCATCTGAGCATGGCTTGCAGTAATGATCTTGGCAGCTTGTGCATTCGATAGTAGCAAGACTTGTCTGGCATTAGGCACAGTTAATTTAATTTAATTTCTTTGTTTGGTTTAGCTTGATAGTCCTTCTACCAATGATATCCCTCTCCAGGATATTGAATTGTAAGTAGATAAGTTTGTTCTTTAAATTTCTAGACAGAGCCTTCTCGAGTTCAGCAACAGTTTTCTTCCCTTTTAGATCTGTCTCATAGTATCCTAGGAAATGGCATAGTTTATAGTCCTCTGGATTCTTTTTATTCTAGTTTTATTCCTATTCTAATTTCTTTATTGCTTAAACACCTTTTAACTCTCTCTCTTTTTCAATCATTGAAATTTTATCATTGCTTAGCTATCTGATTTTATTCTCATACATAGCCTGAGTCTTCTTGAACTGCTTTACTTTTTCGCTGAAGAGTCTGATTGATTCCTTATGCTTTTAAGACATTTCCCTTAGTTTTTACTCTAAGACCTAAATTTTTTCATTCTCTTCTCTTTCGTTCTGCTCAATCATAAGCTTATCTTTTACATTTTCAATTCTATCAGCACTTTTCTTAACCCAAGCAGGAACATCGTTAATCAATACTTAGACGATATATTTCATTGCTATGATAATATGTTCAACTCCAACTATAATCCAGAGCAAATAAATTTCTGTATCTAACTCGAAAGTTGAACTCAACCAGCCCTTTAAGGTCGGTGAAGAGAAGTAAAGCAAAAGTGAATTGGTAATTACAGCTAGTAAAGCCATAAACTCAACTATAGCAAGCCATGGCCCTATATCTTACCTAACCTACATAACAGGTCTTCTGATACATGTGTGCTAGCACCATAGATCTAATCTAATGTCAAATATGTTGTGTAGCATCACATAGAAAGTAACTATTGGGCAAGCACATGCGTAAAGAGTAGCCAATCCAAATAAGATAAATACCTCACTGTTCTCATTGATTTCGTCTTTTTCAAAAGTTTGCACCATCACTGAGTTTAATTCAATAAAGTCCAAAAAGAGGTGAGGGTCTCCGAATCTGCCTGAACCATTAAAAACAAGTCTGTAAAGAATTTTCTAATAGAGAAGAGGCTAGTCAGTTATTGGTTTGTAAAGTGGATTGCTAATAAATTAAGAGATAGCTCTCTTGAGTTTATCCTATTTTGCTATCTACTAACTTATTAAAGTTTTATCTAAGCTTATTTGCTCATTTTGTCCCAATTCTTCAATGAATTATTAATGCTTGGCTTACTGTTCTTGGCCTTATTTCGCAACCTCTTTGAAATACTTTCTTCTAAGATACCAATACATTAAATACTTCCTCAAAATTCTATATAAATGATGAAATTAATGAGTCCTTACTTGAATACAAAAATTTATAAAGATTTTTAGATTACCATACCAACTATTAAGTAATAAAGGGATATGAAGTTTTGGTCAAAGAATGCAGTATAAAACAGTGAAATGTTGGTATTAATGAACTTGAAAGCAAACAACTTGAAGATAAAAGATTTTTCATACGTGTCTGCATATTTGTGATTTTCTAGTTTCATAAAAATTATTACCAGCTACTGATAGATAAAATTCACTATCGAAATAGACAGGCCATTAATTACTCCTGCTAAAATCTGAATGAATCTATCGTGGTTAATTTCCCCATTTAAATTCTGATCTTTGAACTCTCTGGTGAGGAAATATACAACTACACAGATACCAATCAGAATGACGAACACTGGAATAGATACTATAATAATGAGATAGAATCTAGCCTGAACGTTTAGCTTCATAACCTGGTAATTTATCATTGAAAAATATTCATCTCCGTTAAACTCAGGTCTCACCTCTAATAGAAAATAAATTAAAACTAATGAATACCTCTTTCCTTGTCTGAACTTTAATCGAACACTCCCCATCTTAGAGCTATTTCAGCTGATTTCCTCCTCCATCTCTCAATGAAAATAGTAACCCAAAAGCATACTAGGACTGAATAAACACTGGTCCAAATATTATCTACATTGCTAATAATCTAGTAAATTGTCAGGGCAAATCCAAATATGCTTGGAATAATCAACCATGACGTGTAGAAGGACATCCAAGCGTAATAGAAGCCTGCTTTTTCCCCAAAGTAATTCTTTATTGCTGAAAGTTCGCGATATTCAAAGATTATACCTTCTCTGTAAAACTGTTTAATAAAACTGGGTTAAAGCCAAATCTTAGTGCTTGTCTCCCATTTTTATTTGATTTCATGAATGCCATAGAAATCATGCATAGGCAATATCTGTATGAGAATTTTTTCATCCGTTAAAGAATCAACATTGATGATCTTCTTTATTAGACTTATCATGATCTTTTAGATATCCTTGGTTCTGAATGGCTCAAATTTTACTTTCTAATTTGGTTCAAATTCAACTTTTATGTCAATATCTGCTAGCTTAACTTTGAGCTTAATAGATTTGGCTTCACTCTCGAGTTTAGATTATTTCAAGTTCAGGGCTATGTAGTAGAGATCAGGATTAAGAGAAGGGAAAATTTAAACGTCAAATCCTTGATTCTAGAGTACATTGACCATTCCATTGATGATTTGTTTATTTTCTTAGGATTTATTTACTTTCAATACCAAAGGTGGGACCTAAGGCATAATTTATCTAGATGCTATCAATCTTTTGTTGATTATTTCTTGTTCCGTCATAGGTTTATTGTTCTGAAAATCTTGGTCATATTTCCTTCTCATTGCTACTGTTGGCTACAGGACTGTTATACTGTTTTTAGCATTGGCTAAATCATCATCATCATCAAATCCTTTCATCATAGATGGGTCAGAGAAGCTGCCAATATCCTGACCAGTAGGAGTTGAGGAAAAAGAATTCCTTCCACTTGCATTTGCACTTTAACTAGTTATCTTCTCTCTCTCTTTAAATAATGTATGCTGCTTCTTATAAAATCGAAGGTATGCCTCGTGAACCAAATAATGCTGCTATAAATCTTTAGGCATCCATCCTTAAGAATTTCTGATTGTAAGTGATAAGTGATATTCTTCTAAAAGTCTCTCAACACATTTCTCATTTCCATACTGAGACGCTGTATGAAGCGGAGTGTTAAGAAATTTGTCCTGGAAGTCCATACTAAAATAGGGCATTCTACTGTACTAGTATAGTTTCGCTTCGAATATCTAGGTATAGAACTTTCTTATTGGGTCATATCTCTTAGACTTGATAAATAGCTACCATTTTTCTCTGTAACACATGTGGGGATCTCTATTGTAAGATCTTAGCAATTTTTAGTTATTAGGATCACTTGCTTCGTATTTGTCAATCGCTGTCCCATATAAGTATCGATTTTATATATTTTTCATCAATAAGTCTAGTTTTTCAACATTTCCAGATTATGCTGCAGCATGGCATGGTGACTTCTAATTGTCACTCATAACTGGCCCTTCAGGATACGCATAAAGATTTTTAAGAATATCCCTAACCTAATCTACAGTTATTTCTTTATACATACAACCCCAGTAAAGAGTTGATGTATGTAGAATGGGATTGAATAGAAGGATATTATGTGTATACTAGTTCTCTAAAGGAATTATTTTAATCTGTCCTTTATATTGTTATTATAGTTTTTTCAAGTCTTGCTATAAATCCTTTCCCATAAGTATTTGCTGATCTTTAATTAATGAGATATCAATGATGGGAGAAGTATCAAACATTTTCTCCCATTAAGTCTAATATTATTCCTCCCCAATCATTTTTGATACTTCCTTTTATTTCTTTAGGACCATGTTTACTGTATAATCGATTAGAAGAGACACACATCCACCATGATTGAATTTGCCTGCGTAGTCTATTGGAAAATATCCATACTTATCAGGAATGTGAATAAAAGCCCCGCTTCCTAATAATTTCTCAACTATTGATTCCAAACCGTGAATGCAAGCCCAATGAAGTGCAGTGAACAAAGAATTTTTGTTTTGAATGTTTAGATCGGTGATTTTAACGAACTTTTCTACAATCTCTTCTCTAGACTGCTTCTTCTTGTTCTCTTCGGTATCGTTATTATAGATGTTTGCAAGTATTATTGGGGTGTTACCATAGTTATCCTTCTCATTGGCCTTCTCTTTCCTCTTCTCGTCATCTAAATTATCCAATGTGTTTCTTATCACATCAGCTCTCTGCTCTAATGCTGCTCTATGCAATATAATTCTTCCATCTCTGTCTTTCACCTAGATTTCAAAATCCTTTTTCAAAATAAGATCTTCATTATTTAAGTAGGATGTCTAGTCAGAATACTAATCATTAAGCTTAAATTTAATTTCTTTGGACCTGAAAAGCTTCTTGACATCGGTGTCCTCCCAGAAATCCTTATCATCATCTTGGAGCATCGTATCATTTAAGCTATCTTCATCTTATACGCTTGCCTGATTCTGGTTAGCTTACTTTTTATTTTGAGTTTCATTTGTGGAAACTCTAGAATTAGGGCTGCTGTTGCTTTATGCTGAGCCCTTTTAATTGACTTGAGAAGTTTTAAGTGAGCTTTTCTAAGGACTCTGCTATTTATTAGCACTACCTAGATTAAGGTTTTGAGTTTTTAAGGGAGATTATGGGGCTGCATTGGGTTACACCTGCTTGTCATTACTTGCAATTGACGACTTCTAAGTTTCTTCCACTCGAACACTGGCAAACTAACTGCTCTGTACAGATTCTTTATTTGCATTCATCACATTGTTTTGAGCTGAGCTGTTAGACTAGGTTTTTCCCACGTTAATAATCTCCAATTACAGCTTTCAGTTATAGGCTTAGGCGATAATCTAGTTACTGTTAGCAGTAGTTGGATTATTAAGCACTTAATTTCCCTTGATCTGAGGTTTACTATTCATTTATTTTATTTATGAATTATTTATTTCCAATTCAAATTCGAACTCTTTATTTTGTAACTTTTTAACTGAGGGGTTTTGGGGTTTTGGGG